TTATAAACGATAAATAATTTCGTTACATCGATTTTTGGTGAATTTTTCTACTCTATCAAGATTACGGACTACATCAAAATCTAGTGATAAAGTCTCCTTTATCACGCTGCGCGTGCGCTTATAATGTCTAGTCTGTATTTATCTTTTTTAACACAGGAGCAAAAATTAATATAATACTATTATAATATCATTAATATTTTTAACTTCTTGACACACAATTGTCAAAACGATCCTTTGTGAGATCAATACAATGATAGCTATTCACGAAGTTAGCGCAGCGAGAGAACCAATCGGCATCGCGGGAAAGCGGCAACAATAATTTCGAGAGATGCGAATATCGATGTAATACCTTTTTTAGAAAGGATAAAGTATAGATAAAAAGATAAAAAATATAAATTTTTATATAATCATAGAATAAGATCTTTTATTAAATTATCAATTGTGTCTTTGGAAAAATGTTCAACCGCAATTTATTTTTTTCTTTTACGTAAATATTGATTCTAAGTTGTAATAAAAAAATCGTATATATAAATAATTTAACTGAAATGACGTATATTATGCTCTAATTTTCATGCATACATAACTTTTTAATTGTATATATAAAGATAAGCAATTGAAATTAACATACTTGAAATATAATACAGGTTGTTAAAATGCTAGAGATACAGATAAACTGAAATTGAGAAAACTTCGATTTTTCGTAAGACCATATCAACTATCAACAAAAGAATCTTATTTAGATTGAAAAACGTATGTGAGATCATCTCTCTACTAATGCAAAAATACTTGTGAGTAGAATAAAATGTACAAAGGTATATCATGCTTCTATCATATTTTGGCGCAAATTAATTTTTCAAAATAATAAATAATTGGACACTAGATAATTTAATATACTAAATTCGTCCGAATTTTCGATTTCAGATAGAAAAATTCAAAACTAGAGTGAAATATATTGTCACAACACTATTATATAAAAATAGAGGACAAATAACGAAGATACAAAACAAAGAGCGTAAGCTAATTAAGCATATGTAATAAAATAAATAAGAATATGATTAAAGAATAAAAATTTTAATATTCGTCTTTCTCTTAGAACATGCGTGAATGATGCGAAGGATTTGGCTCAGAAATGAACATTTTCAATCCTTCTACATCAAACGTCTACATGAAACGTTGACATCAATCGTGTAGAGAAAATGTGGAACGAATTTTTTGCTATTCTTCATTCTGTATTTAAGAGAAAGAAGATAAAAGTTGCTCTCGCGATATCGAGCGACTTCAGCGACATAAAAGCAATATCCACATTACAGAAAAAAGCAGTGAAATTATCGATAAGTAACATTAAAGATTGTCGATAGTGTAATTAATATAAAAAGACTAAATGCATGTAAATGTACACAAAGAAATAAACACACTCAAAAAATACGTAGGCAACCGGTAATAATCATTAGAAAAAAGCGTACACGTAATCTTTAAAATAGCGTACACGTAATCTTTAACCAAAATGTTTTTTCTGCTGTTAACCCGAGTGGCTCCAATTATTTCAACCTGTTCTTCACTGCAATTTTCAAATGTTCGAGCAATTTTACAAGCAATTTAAGAACGAAAAAAAAAAAAATAAAATAAACATTTCGAAATGAGTCTTTAATTAATGGCGACGTGTCTTACCATTGTCGTCGATAACAAGCTGCACGTGTTGCATGACCTCCTCGACAATTAGCGTTATTTTATTGTTGACCGCTGCGCGAAACATCTCCACCAATATACGCCCAACCATTTGCCTGCAACAGGAAATGAGAATGATGTTAGATCGCGGCCAGGTATTCTGCGCAATATCGCGGTCGATTCAGATCTCTTTACGTCAAAGCGTAAAATTATCTTCGGTTAGCTTGCGCAATGGGACATGTACGATTAAGAAAAAAAAAAAGAGCCAAAAAAAGAAAACATAAGATAAAAAGGCCGTTACCCGCTAATGTCACGGTCTCGCAATGTTAGCCAACACGCCGATATATCTATTTCTCCATTGAAATCGCATATTTTCACAGAAACTTAACACAAACTTAATTAAATTAATACGAACGATACGCGCGACAAGTGTAACGAGAAATAACTTTGCGTTGCTGTTTTCAACAGCAACCCGAACAGAATGCCTGGCTAGAATTTCCCGATGTAAGTCGACCCACGGTGTTTGACATTCGCATATTCGCTTTCCAAGATATGTTTGCGCTCCACTCATACATCATCTCACTTCCTTGTGCGATCGTTCTTTTTCTCTAATATTGCTTCATGTAGTCAACTAATCATAGTTTCTCTATTTTTTTTTTTTTTACCAATTACTCACTTTCGCGCGTAGTAACTCTAATAAGTTTTGTTATCTACGCGTTTATAATACGCTTAGCAGTCTACAAGCAGACTACAAACAGTTGTAAGCAGTCTTTAGATCAGATCATTTAAATAAAGAAGACGGAATTAAAGAATAATGCAAAGAAGTTTATTCGTATTAATTTCGTTTTCTTTTTAATTGTACACATTTATTTATTAATAAAGGATGTAGTTCTGCTTATCGATGTGTTGGCTATTACATCGTGTAAAAGATTAAAATGCATTTGCCGTTTGAAATTGACATTAAACTGTAGATATTCTATACTTTTGGATATTCTATATACTTGTGTACAATCGTTGCGTCACAATGAAAGAGAGGCGCCTACCCCCCACTGATGACAGCGTGTAGCGTTTGAAGAAGAAGAAATTAAAGAATAACGCAAAGAAGCTTATTCATATTAATTTCGTTTCTTTTTAATTTTATGCCATATTTATATATAATGTATTTATGTAATAAAAGATCTAGTTCTGCTTATCGATGTAATGAGCTGTTATATCGTACAAAAGATTAAAATGCAGTTTAGGAAATTTCTAAGGAGTCTCCATTTTAACGCTCGAGAAGAAATGTGTCTAATATTGTACAGAATGTTCCAGTTTTTTTCCAAACATTGTTATTAATTCTATGTGTATAAATAAGAAAGAAATGTTATATAAACATATGTCATTTGAAGTTTTATTAAAAAGTTAATAAAAAGTTAATAAAAATAAGAATTACAAACACCTTTTTTTAAAAATGGATACATCGAGGATCAATACTTTAGCTTTCAAAATTGTCTGAATTGTCTTTTACGTTACTTGATTTTTATCTGTGGAAAAACTTTAAAGGAACAGGTATATCGAATAAAAATTAATACGCATGAATTGATACAAATGAGATAAAATAATTACAAAATAATTACGATGAATTTTGCAGAGTAATAAATTTCCTATCACTGTCAATGTTATACTATCAAGAATGATGGACATTTTAAGATCGAATATTAGTTGCTTCTAGAAGTATTAGGAGTATTATACCTTTAATGATCTCAAGTAATAAACATAGCGTGCATAAGTGGATTTAAAGAAATAAAATATCATTGATCTATTCTTATTTTATATCATAGTATCGCAAATTCGCTACTATTCTTTGTATTTCATATTTTTGCTATAACTTTTTAATATAGTTTCAAACAATTTATTTTTATAATAATGTTTCTTTTTTATTTGTACTCATATAGAATATATTATTACGATCAACCGAAGATTCGAATACAATGAAAATATAAAAATATTTAAGGTGATTATAACAATTAAAGATACCACATTAATGGCCATTTCCTCCAACGTGGTTCAATTCGGAGTTCCTGTAAATTGCGTTCAAGTTTGAATGCAGTTTAATCTTCGATCAACTTGATTTGTTTTCCTTCAACTTTATTTTGGTTCTGATTTCAACTGAACGTATTATCCAATGCCTGCTAACTCAAATTAAATTTGTATTAAGTAATGTGATTGGTGCATAATGAGCATAACGGAAAGGATGAAACATTTGACGATAAAAATATCGAGATGATTAAAAAAAAAAAAAAAAAAAAAACAAACAAAAACCCAAATAATCTTTAACTTCATGAAGAAACTCGGGAGAGATAGAAATATAGAAAAAAAGTTGGTTAGTTTGTTTTTTCTGGAATTCAAATTTGTTTACAATTTTTATTTATAAAAATATGGAAATAAAAAAGAAAGAACAACAAATTGTACAGAATCAAAGAGAATGAATTTTATCGAATGTCATCTAAATCCTCAAAATAGTTCTTGTTAACTGTGCACTATTAACTGCGCTGATTCTCATTTGCTTTATTTTTTCACATTGTCAAAATAGTTCATACGTAATTTAAATCTGTTGAGTCTTCTGTCAACATCTTATAATGTCTTCATCATCGGATAATGATAAAATATTATAATATGCCATAATAAACATTAAATTTTGCACATACGAAACAGAGAACACTGCATATACCCTCAAATACTGATATATGCACATACGTTTTGCGTTGTCTTCTGCTTAAACACCGTTCAAACTTCAACTTGTTAACCGATCAAAAATAAGCATTCAGAATAAACGTCGTTTAATTAACTTGAATTTGTATTAAAAATTTGGTGAAACGCAAAATGTCATGTTGATCGGAGTTTAACTTCGGTTTAAATTTTGACTCACGTTGGAGGAAACGGCATAAGCAATTCGGTATTAGGATCTTTGATCACCGCACTTTTCTTGGTTTGACTCACTTGATGTTTTTGTAGTTTAGGAAGAAATCAAACGAATAAATCGCCTGGTGAGAAACGGGGAAGGACAAGAAGAATTCTTTTTCTTCGATTCGATCACAAAGAAAGAGTTTAGTTTATTAAAGGATCCTTTCCGAGATTTTTAATCCGTCCGTAAAGATTTTTGAAATTTCCGAGAACAAATTTAGGATACATTTCTTCTCGAGCGTTAAAATGGAGACTCCTTAGAAATTCCTAAACTGCATTTTAATCTTTTATACGATATAACAGCTCATTACATCGATAAGCAGAACTAGATCTTTTATTATATAAATACATTATATATAAATATGACATAAAATTAAAAAGAAACGAAATTAATATGAATAAACTTCTTTGCGTTATTCTTTAATTTCTTCTTCTTCAAACGCTACACACTGTCATCAGTGGGGGGTAGGCGCCTCTCTTTCATTGTGACGCATCGATTGCACACAAGTATATAGAATATCTACAAGTATAGAATATTTACAGTTTAATGTCAATTTCAAACGGCAAATTTTTGAGAGAAGTTTTCCTCGAAGAAAGACAGATCGGCAAACCATCCCGAGTAATATCTTGCCAGTATCTTCCGAGAGGAACCACGTGTATATGAAAAATTTTCCAGTTCTATTGGGAATCGAATCTGAAACCTCTAAGCAAACTAGTGCGCCGTCTACTATGCTACGCTCGTGCTAGAAGTTCCGAAATTGCATTTTAATCTTTCACACGATGTAATAGCGAATAACAAGATGAAACTTGGGGACTGAAAAAATGTTCAGATGATTCACAAAAATTCTAGAAAAAATTCCCTTTCTAAGAAATCCAAATCATTCAAATTCAAAGCATGCAAAATGATGGTATCTTAAACTAAAGAAAGAAATACATAAAATCAAGTTGAAGAACGAAGAAAGAAGAATGAAGAATCTCTATAGCGGCTTATCTCAAATAGAAAAAGCGGAAAACAGGAATTGGTGCCTGATAATTTATTAACAGCAGTTCAGAATAGAACAGGAAGTTGTCAGGTGAAGTTGCGTGAACTCTTCACGTAAAAGAGTGAGAGACCGGAAATTTCCTAGGAAATTTCCTAGGAATCTGTTATGATAAAATCGGGACGATAAATTTTGAAAAGAATTTTGAAAAGAATATTGTGAGAAGAGGCAGTGGACCAAATATAAATCCGCTCGTCGTGGCCTATGAAAGTAGTCGCTCTTTGCTAACGGGTTGTTGATTGGCAAATATGAAAACGACGGAACTTATCTTTATCTACGAATATCTTTATCATTTGATTGTTCTAATTTTATCAGTAGAGTTTGTTCATTTTTTAAAACGATTTTGCTCATTTCGCAAATGAGTGAGTGAAAGTGAAGTGTATGAGAAACCGCTAGGAACGCAACAATATCAACAAAGTTTGATCAGGAAAAACTGAAACAGTAGTTAAAACTGTTAGTTAAACTTTAACTAACAGTTTTAACAACTTTTAACTGTAGTTAAAAAAAAAGACAAAACGCACAATTTTATTAATTACTGTACTTAATTAATGTATTGATGTATTAATATTAATGTATTGAATTATGATTTTTTAAGTAACTCCGTCTGGGTGCCTAGGATAGGTCCGGCTCGGGACTCGAGCCATGCAATCTCTCCTGTCGTGCTCCAGAAGGATTATTTGTATATTTGCCAATGGCGTCGAAGGGTATCGCCGCTGCAGTCCGACCTGCATCCATCGAGAGAATAGGACCATCATCTCTCTGGAGTACCGATCGACAGCGGCGACACCCTCCAATGCCATTGGCAAATATACAAATAATCCTCCTGCAGCACGACAGGAGAGATTGCATCAAGCATCGAGTCTCCGGCTCGAGTCTCCGGCTGGTCCCATCAAGCTCAACTAAAGGAAGAGGGATGAGCACTGGGCTCCCGGTCCCGTAAAAAATCCATGTGTTGAGATCAATCCAACCAAAAGGATCAGTCGGATTCTGTGGCGACAACAAGGCTATCCACAGAAGACGCAGAAGAATAAGGATTACTTGGAGACAATCCTGGAGCATAGAGCCAAGATCCACCTCGGATTGTAGCGCTAATAATGAGGATGATGATTTTTTTAAGTGAAGTGTGAAGTTTT